ATGGCTCCCCCACCCACATCACTCCTGCCCCCCTCATAGACTCCTTCAGTTCCTCTCATGGAGTCCCCACTCACATCACTCCTGTCCCCCCATCGAGCCTCCCCACATCCCTTCTGCCCCACCCCATAGACTCCTACAGTCCCCCACCATGGAGTCCCCACCTCATCCCTTCTACCCCAGCCCCATAGACTCCTGCCATGCCCCCTGTGGATGCCCCATTCTCCCTCTCCCCATTCCTCCTGCCCAGCCCCCTAGAGTCCGCATTAGGGATGTTAAAAACTAGTTGACTATCCGATAAGCATTTGCTTATGAGATAGTCTTTTGACTAGTCAATATCCGCCCCCTCCCCCTTTGCTGCATCTATGATTATATCTATATGGGGAGTCCTCAGCTGACCCCAGGCTCCACAGCAGGTGCCCCTTTGAAATGTGCGGGTGGCTTGGGATTTTTCTGGGATCAGCTGTATGGCGGCTGCCCCTTTAAAATACTTCTGCATTTCAAAGGGGCAGTGGAGCCTGCGGTCAGGGTTAATGCTTCACTGCCCCTTTGAAGTGGCACTCTTGTGCTTCAAAGGGGCAGTGCAACATGGAACCTGGGATCAGCTGGGGAATCCCCAGCTGACCCTGGGCTCCACTGCCCCCTTGAAATGCACGGAGGTGGCGTTTCAAAGGGGCAGCTGCCGTGGAGCCCGAGGTCAGTTGAGGATTCCCCAGCTTCACCCCGGGCTCCTAACGGCATGCAGCATGGCATGGAGCCTGGGGGACCCCGCTGACCCTGGGCTCTATGGCTCTGAAATGCACAAGTGCCCCTCCTTTGAAATGAGCAAGAGCCCTGGCACGTTTCAAAGGAGGACTGCGGAAGTGCCTATGGACTAGTCAATAGAAATTCTGTTGCTGAGTCAATTAACTGCGTTTTAATATCGTAAGTCCCCATCTCCCCCACTCCTCCTGCCTCAGACCCCACAACAGCCCCTGCTTCATCTTCCACAGAGCTCCTCCACAGCCCCTAACTCCTCCTGACCTACCTCAAAAGCTCCCTTGTCCCAGACCCCCATGTATCCCCTCCCTGCAGTGTCCCTACTCGGTCCCCTGTCTTTTCTGTCACAACCACCCCTCCATATTTTTCCATTTCTCCCCAACCTCTTGGCTACTGTCTACCATGACCCAGGCTCCAGGGCATCTCTAGGCATTGCTGTAGGAAAGGGTTGTGCCCCACCCCTTGTTCAAGGACTCTCTCCCCTCCTAATGCTGGCACGGTACCTTCTGGGACCCTCCCGGCCTTTTCAGAACCAGGCTCCATGCTCTCTTTGGTAGGTCAGGCATTCATGTTTTCAATCCCCACCTTCTCCTTTGTGGGGGTGCTCCCACCATGCCAAAAGGTCAATCTCCCTTCGCTGCTGCTCCCTGCTTCACAGGCAGTTTTCATTCCCCTCAAAGAGCAGCTTTGGGGACCTGCTTTATGATATCTTACTCCCTCCATAGTATGAATAAGGAAAAGTTATTTACTTGTTCCCATAATATAAGAACTAGGGGCCACCAAATGAAATTAATGGGCAGAAGACCCCTTAATTTTAAAACAAATAAAATAAAGGTCTTCACACAGCGCACAGTTAATCTGTGGAACTCCTTGCCTGAGGAGGTTGTGAAGGCTAGGACTAGAACAGGGTTTAAAAAAGAGCTAGATAAATTCATGGAGGTTAAGTCCATCAATGGCTATTAGCCAGGATGGGTAAGGAATGGTGTCCTTAGACTCTGTTTGTCAGAGGGTGGAGACGGATGGCAGGAGAGAGATCGCTTGATCGTTACCTGTTTGGTTCACTCCCTCTGGGACACCTGGAATTGGCCACTGTGGGCAGACAGGACACTGGGCTGGATGGGCCTTTGGTCTGACCCAGTCTGGCCATTGTTATGTTCTTACGTTTTCATGAAACCATCCCCCTTATCTTAATACTTATGGGATCAGATGTGGGTCTGGGAATCTGATTGCTAATTCCCCAGTGCTTGTCCACAGCACTTGGAGTTTCCCAGCCCTCCTCCCTCATTTTTCTTCTTTTCCCCATTGCCCTCTGTCTCCATCTATATGTGTGCGCATTAGCACAGGGCCACCAGCATGTCTCTCACCTCAGCTAGCCTCAGTTAAATTTTCCCTATGGTAAGGATCCTGATTTGCTTGAACTGTTCCTTGCTCACTGTGCCGACTGCAGTGTTCTTACTTTGCATCTCAGAGTAAGTATTTGTTGCACAGATAGGCACCTTAGAAATACTTGAGAGTTACTGAAATGTATGTCTAAGGTGTGTTGTATTTTCTTATACCTCTCTTTCTTACCCAATTTCTATATTATTCTGGCTTCTGACTTAGTCGTAGTTCAAAGAGAACTGCTGAAAACTGAATTGCCCATTTGGATTACTGACACTGGAGCTAAGCCTAAAGAGTGTCCCATCAGAGGAAGGAGCAAGCTACCTGGGCCCAGAGCTAAACATCTATAGCTGAAGGAGGGGGTTATTTTGATGTAAATGTTCAGTGTGGGGTTGAAGATGAAGGGTTTCAGCCTGCTTCTTTGGTGTTTATCTTCCAGAATGCCCAAGTCCAAGGAGTTTGTGGAAACAGCCACTTCAGACAGTGGATCTGATGCTGCTGAGAATGAAAAGGTATCTGTATAGTCGGGGAATGAGTCTGACTTTGCTCCCACGCATCAGATAATCCCCTCCTGTGCACATATCCCTGCAGTGGGAAAAAGTAGCAAGATTCTACGTGCTTCGGTTAGCCCTCTAAGGGCGTGCAGGTGACAATCTGAATTCCAGTGTGCTCAGCTGGTGCCACTGAAGCCACTTCTGGGGGTGAAATTCACAACTAAGTGCCATTCCCATGTCATACAACTGTGCAAGTTCGGGTGCTCATTGATACTGAGGCAAGCCTGTGCTTACCATTGATGCCATGAGATTGTGTTTTGTTTGATTTTTTTTAAATGAATGCAAAGCAGAAGAGGTTTGGAGTTTCTTTTAATGTTACTTGAAAAAGTCACAGCAGATGAAGGGAGAGCATTTTCTCTCCCTTATTTTTTCAGATCTGGAAAGTGTAGTTGTGCAAAGGCGCTATCTGAATGCAACCGCACAAGGGAGCAGAGTGAAGGTTGCATGGACAACTTTTATTCTAGGACTTCCTAACTTTTGAGGCTATGACTTTACAACCTGAATATTCCTTTAATGTAGTTTTAAGAGGTTTCAGACACGTTTAGCCCAAGTACTGCTGGTTATTAGTGTAGTTAACATTAGAGTGCCATATTAGTATTACTGCAGTAGCATGTTTTGCTGAAGGGGCTAATAATCCCATCTGATTTAATGTATGTAGGTCCCATCATAACTATCTAGGAGCCCGATAGGCTTGAGAACTAAACTATTCATAAGGTGGGGCTGCTAACTATGACCTCTTCTTTACAGAAAAGAAAAAAAGAGATGCCCTCCAAGACAGAGAAAAAGCCAAAAACTGAGGCAAAAACTTCCAAGGTGGCAACAAAAAGTCATAGTCAAGATAGTGAAGAGGAGGACATGTTCCAGGTATTGGTGGGAGGGGAGAGAACCAGGTATTACAAACAAATCTACCTCTGCAGCTTCAGATCCCACCCCATCATACACACACATCCACATGCACACAAAAATTTGTATTCATTATTTTCCTAGCCATATCCGAGTCTTTTTCTGGTTTCTTGCATTGGTGTATCTTGTGTCTCCCTCTAGTTAAATACAATCTGTGCTGGCCCAATGGACTTTTAAGTAATAAGATCAAATATGGACTGGAGTTAAATATACGTATATGAAGCTGGCTGCAGCCTTCCTCCACTCAAATCCAGACCTTTCTTTAACTATCATTTAATATATTTGCAGATTGGGAAGATGCGCTATGTCAGAGTGTCCTGCTTTAAGGGGAAAATCCTTGTGGATATCCGAGAATTCTACATAGATAAGGAGGGGGACACTAAACCTGGGAGAAAAGGTAACCAGATCTTTCCACTAGGTGGCAGTAATGCATCACATCCATGTCCTTTCCAATCCAATTAAACTCCTGAATGAGTTTAGGGCAATCTTTTGTATCCAGGAGTTGGAAACTTCACATTAGCATCTTCAGAAAGTCTCAGATATTCTCACTGCCATTTGATGCTGGGAAGTGAGCTGTACGGCTCCATGATGGGCTGTTAATGAAAGAGCAAGTATCGCAGTGACCTCAGTCTGTGACGTTTGGCTCCATGCCTGTTTCTGAAGGGGGACTTCAGCTGAGGAAGGATTAGAACACTAGGTAAGCTGAAAATTGGCTAAAAGGCAGCAGGTGGAACATGATGGAAGATGGCGATATTCTGCTAGCCATCGATATTCCAGTGTGTAGGAATATAGTACCCTGTCTGACCAGTCTTCACTCTCCTTTCTCCCCAACTATTTCTCTGATAAATAGCACCTTTGGGAGGAGGAGGCGGCAATTGAGTATGTAAAATAAGACTGTCCAAAATGCCAAAGGAAAATAGAAAACTGTAACTCATGTACTGCTATCCAATGAGTGTCTGGCTGTTGCTTGGCAAAACTATATCTATATGTAAGCAGCATAGGCCTGTTAGAACTTTAAGGTTGTACAGTGTGATGTGCAGTCAGTGAGAACTAGAGGATCTCAGAATATGATATTTCATCTCAGCCTGAATGGAAACTAGAAGTTCATAATTCCTGTAGGCTATATCTCTGTATTAAAGCAAGGATGACTGTAGCGTTCTGCATTAGGTGCATACCTCAGGCTATGTCTAGACTGCAGGCTTCTTGCGCAAGAAGCTTTTTGCCAAAGAGATCTTCCGCAAAATCTTCTTGTGCAAGAGCGTGTCCACACTGCAAAAGCACATTGGAAAAGCGATGAGCTTTTGCGCAAGAGAGCATTCAAACTACATGGACGCTCTCTCGCAAGAAAGCTCTGATTTCCATTAACAGAATGACCACCAGAGCACCTGTGCTTTTTTTGATAGGCTGTTTTTGTGCAAAAACCCCCTTGTTTCCTGTCCCTGCACACCCAGGAGTGGCCCGAGGCGGGCTGTGGCAGCTGGCGTCCCAGGTGGAAAGCGTGATCAGCGCCTCCGCCTGCACGGCCGTCAATGGAGTGATGTCATCATCGGGCACCTTGTGACATCATCATGGGGCGCCCCGTTGAAGGCGGTGCTCTATGCGACAGCCAAGTCGGCCTATAGTCACGGGCCGCCCCTGCACACACCTTTTTGCACCAGAGCTCTTGTACAAAAAGACTTATTCCTCGTAGAAAGAGGAATAACTATTGCGCAAAAACCCCTCTTCTGATTTACAGTAAATTTTCTTGCGCAAAAACGCGCTGGCAGTGTGGACACTCTGCAAGTTTCTGCGCAAAAACAGGTGTTTTTGCACAAAAACTCTGCAGTCTAGACTGCCTCAGGCTCCTTATGAGCTTCCCAGTGTGACCCGCAGTGGAATGGAGTTTGGGTGACCCTTTGTTAGAGTCATGCGGCCCTTGGAGTAACATGATCTGACTGGGTAATTTTTATATGACGTAAACTAAATAGGAAAACAGCACAGAATGTAGTTTAAGGCAGCTGTGGAACAGGGGCATCATTCACTCTAGAACTTCTCTTCCTGCTACTGAATTAATGTTCATTCATTGCAACTTTTTGATTGACTGTGATTTGCTTAGTTGTCTCACTCAACTCTTGGTTCCCAGGTTACATCTGTAGGTCATTCCTCTCTTCAGCCCTGAATATTAGGGTAATTCAGCAGAGATTCAGTTACATGAAATTTCTCAGGAACCATTCTGTTTTCATTATTGATTTTTGTGTCTAGTCAGATGAATTTCTTTCCGTTTGATTTGTCCCTTGAACACTTAGCATGGTTTGCCCTCCAGAAATTAATTTCCTTCAAAGAAGCTACTACTGTACATTACTCACTTAAAGCAAACAGCTTATCCTGTAATGAAAGATAGAAACAGGTCATTGAAATCTTTCTGTGCCAGTCTTGGGGGAGGGGAGACAAACGGGGCATTAATCTCTTTTTGAAGGATCTAGGAAACTTGCCTCGAATGCAAGACAGAAGATTTGTTCATCTGTTGCTTAGAACTTGGAGGAGGAATGTTCATATGAATGTCTTTTCTAGTTTGATGCAGATTGTCTCTAACCACTGGTGTTTGTCTAGAACTTAATAAAATATGTGACTGTCAGGACATGTTTCTTGAGCAAAACCAAGACTAACAAAGTGGACAGTATCAGGGTGGAACTAAATTGGCATGCCCATTGCCATATTGCATATGACGAAGTGGGCTCCAGCCCACAAAAGTTTGTGCCCAAATAAAATCTGTTAGTCTTTAAGGTCTGAGGACTCGTTGGTTTTGCTGAAACAGACTAAGGATGTTAAATATCAGTTAACTGAATAGTCGATTAACCTAATTAATTCTTTTTGGTTACTCGACTATTCTATAGTCTCCGGGGAGTGGGGCCGGCAGCCAGTGTGCTCCAGCCCCACTCCTGAGGAGGCTATTGCCAGACTGCACTGCTGCCACTGTATCAGAGACCGCAGCATGGGGTGTTAGGTGAGAGATGGTCTACAAGGGGAGCCAGTTTAAAATCCAGCTCCCCTTGTGGACCTATGCTGTGGCCCTGTGCTGTTGCCTCTGATACAGAGGCAACGGTGCAGGGTGGCAGCAGCCCCTGTCTAGGGGATGGTCTGAGCTCCTGGATCTAGTGCAAGCCGGAACTGAGCTGGACTGCTGGCCAGCCTGCTAATAAATGTACTGGCAAGTGGAGGGGGGGCGGGGGGGTGTTGAATCGACTACACTTTTACATCCCTACCTGTAAACAGCCTCAGAGGCAGCAGCGTGGGGTGCTGGACGGGAGCTTGTTTGCAAGGGGAGCCAGTTTAAAAACCAGAGGCAGCAGAGTGGGTTGGCAGCAGCCCCTGTGCAGGGTTGGGTCTGAGCTCCTGCAGTTGGCACAAGCCAGAACTGAGCCAGATTGCTTGGCTCCCAATACACTTTAAATGCAGAGCGACCATGGAGGTAGGAGCTGTACTGCTGGCCAGCCTGCTAAAAAATTGACTGGTGGGTAGGGGGAGGGAAATGCATGTAGTCTATAGCATTAACTGATAAGCAAAAGCTTATAGGTTAATTGACTATACTATAATGTGGCTACTCCTCTGAAAAATGCCATGTGTATCTTCCAGGGAAAAGGCCTGTGACATCAAGTTGGCTGTATCTTTGCAGGTGATTAGTTAGTTTCTGCCCAAATAGCTGAAAGAAATTCAACTCCTTCAAGTTTAAGCCATCATAGTGAATATTGTTAGCGGTAGATTTTTGTAAATGAAATTAAAGTTGTTAGGAGGGAGTCTGCCTTACCCATTTGGCCATCACAGAGGAAGACACACAGGCTACGTTTACACTACGGCTTTTGCCGGAAGAAAAAATGCAAATGAAGCACTGATTAGCATTTTCTCATGCTTCATTTGCATAATCTCTTTCAATCCATTTTTGCACAAGGGGTTTTTGCACAAACAAGCAGTGTGGATGTTTCCATTTTGCACAAAAAACCCTTTTTATACTATAATGGATTGGAAGAGATTATGCAAATGAAGTGCAAGAAAATGCTAATCTGCGCTTCATTTGCCTTTCCTCTTCCGGCAAAAGCCGTAATGTAGATCTAGCCTAGTTTAGGATAGGGACTGGGAGGAAGGACTCTTAGGCTATGTCTACACTGGCGGGTTATTGTGCAAGAACATCTTGCGCAGGAGCCCGTCCACACTGCCATGTGCGAGATGTGCTTTTGTGCAAGAGCATCCATGGCAGTGTGGATGCTCTCTTGAGCAAGAAAGCCCTGATGGCCATTTTAGCCATAGGGCTTTCTTGTTCAAGAAATCCCTGCCGCGCTTCTACACTGCCCTCTTGCTCAAGAGCTCTTGCGCACGAGAGCTTACAGCTGTTAGAAAAGAGCATAGCTCTTGTGCATGAAGCCCTCTCTTACCACACTGTCCGTAAATCTTCTTGTGCAAGAGCGGGTGGGCAGTGTGGATGCGCTGCGGAAGAACGGCAGTTCTTGTGCAGTAACCCGCCAGTGTAGACATAGCCCCAGGTTTATTTATATAGAGCTTTGCTGTGACCTTGAGCCATTTCTTTACTTCCTTTTCCCCATCTGTGAAATGTGGGATACCATCCTACAGGAGCATTAAAGCTTTCCGTATTTATGTCTTACTAGAGGAGTACCCCAGAAGCGCACACTTCCCACTTGCTGGAGTGTTAAAATGGAGAGGTATTTCTTAAGGGGCTGCCTCAGATTCTGTTCTGGGATCCGATTTGGATCATAAATTTCCCTTCTATAATTCCCTTTCACAGCCACCTCGGCTGTGGAACTTGCTGCTTATGATCTGCAGGCGTATCTCTGTAACGCTTCTCCTTTGCTGTTTGTAGGGATTGCCCTATCTGCTGAACAGTGGAACCACTTGAAGGCGATCATTCCAGATATCGATGCTGCAGTCAAGAAATTCTAAGATGTTGTTTATTTAAAATCTTGTATTTTTCCTGGGTTTTTTCTTTTTAATTGCTGTTCTGCATTGGATTCCATCCTAGGGGAAAGGTTCAGTTGTTTAGATTATGATAATGCTTAAGAGGCTAGAGATTGCTTTCAGGTTTTAAAATATAATGTGGAATAAATTCAGATGCCTAGATTGTTTTGCTAAAAGAGGCTTCAGCCCCTTCCTGTCCCTACTGCTTTGTAGAATGAATGATCCTGTCAGTGATGAGATGCATGGAAGAGTCTGATTTCTAACTGGCATTTCCTGACCTAAATGGCTAGTGACTATCATGCAGTGCTGTCTAGCTGCTGCACATCTGTTGCAATCTTCCACTTGATTGCATATTAGTAAGGAGTTTAGTCCAGCTTCCTACCTGCCACCCTTCCATCTAGGCTCTGGAAACTCTGCAGATGGCATTCTGGCTATGTCAAGTAGTTCTTGTGTTTGGAACTCTTCCTGTTTGCCCACCTGCCTATGAAGAAGGGGACTGTAGCATTTCAGCAGAGAAAACAGCAGTATACACAATAAATTTGTTTGCATTACAAAAGGAAAAAAAATGTAGTCTCTATGTTGCCCTAAACTTTAAGCCTTTTTTTTTGTCTCTCTCAGTTGTGTATTAGTGTCAGATTTCCCTTCCAAAGGGAAAATAAGGCCTGTCCACTACTCAGCCACTCAGCATTTCATCTCTCTTAAACAAAAGACTCACTTTTTTTGCTCTATAGAATTGATGAGATAGCTGTCTTGGCAGAACATAATAAACAAGTGCAGGCCATAGAAAGCCCTTAAATAGATCATATACTCTGTCAGGGGCAGTAAATAATTATTTAATAAGCACACTAATTACTAAAGAGGGGAGAACCTTTCTTCCCCTTGTGGAATCACAGTAAAACTACCTGGGTCCAACACTGAATAAGTAGCAGGAGTATTTCCATTGTTTAAGGCTAACCAAACTTTAATACAAGCGTTGTTATCTGGCATTCATGAGAAACTGGGGTTGCTGGTTAATCAAATGTGCCTGTTACTCCAGCTTTCCACCAATGGTTCATGAATTTTTCATTGTACGTAAGATGGGTTAGATAATATTCGGTAATGGTTTTAGACACAGAAGCATGACACACACACAGACATTACTGCCATCAGTTTAAAAAGCTGACTTCTGTAAGTGCTGGAAAATGATGCGGGCTGGCTGTAGGAATTTTCCCAGTTAACTGAAGGAGGAATTGCATTGCCATCTGTGACAGATGCTGGTTAGCCAAGTATGAAAGTGCCAGATAACATAGCTTGTACTGTAATCAGAAGCGGGATAAGCAAAACTTCTCAGTATCTAGTACTCATGTTCTATTTTAGATATGTATGTAGCCTTTGTTGCCATAGCAGCTGAGAGCCTCCCACTCTTGAATATATTTATCCTTACAACCCCCCTGTGAAGTAGGGAAGTACAGTTGGGGAACAAGGGTCAGCTCCTCAAATGGACTGAAGCACCTAACTTCCATTGAATTCAGTAGCTTCAGAGGGGGAGCCGAGTTAGTCTGTAACAGGAAAAACTAAAAAAGCAATAAATAGTCTAGTAGCACCTTAAAGACTAACAAAATCTGTAGCTGACACAAAATACAGGACTATGTAGCACTTTAAAGACTAACAAGATGGTTTATTAGATGATGAGCTTTCGTGGGCCAGACCCACTTCCTCAGATCAAATAGTGGAAAAAAATAGTCACAGCCATATATACCAAAGGATACAATTAAAAAAAAGAACACCTATGAAAAGGACAAATCACATTTCAGAACAGGGGGGGGAAGGTAAATGTCTGTGAGCTAATGGTATTAGAGGTGATAATTGGGGAAGCTATCTTTGTAATGGGTAAGATAATTGGGGTCTTTGTTGAGACCCACGCGTAGAGTGTCGAATTTTAGCATGAATGACAGTTATCTGTAGATGGCATCATGAGCTTTCATGGGCACAACCCACTTCTTCAGATGTCATCTGTATCCCACGAAAGCTCATGATCCCATCTACAGGTTTTGTTAGTCTTTAAGGTGCTACTAGACTACTTGTTTTTTAAAGGATTTTTTTTTTTAATTGAATTCAGTGGGAGACATGGGTCTAGATACTGACATGGGTCTAAGAGACTGCTCAAGAACACACAGGAAAGTCTCTAGTAGAGCAGGGAATTGTATCGGGCTCCCCTAAATCCTAAACTAGCCTCCTACCTCATGGACTATTCTTCTTCCAGCTGGATATTAGCCCCACTCAACATTTTTCTGTTCTAGCAAGCAAGAGCCTGCATGTGGGTACCAGACTTAATTTACAGTATATCCATCAGCCACCATGTGTTTCGCTGCAATCTGACTTCTGCAACCATCACTAATACATAGTGTCATAAACCACTCTTCAGTTAGAAGCCAAAGGTAAAAGAAAAGGAGGAGGAGTGGGAAAGGAAAATTGCCCAGAAAAAGATGGGAAGGGAACAGAGAAGGCGCAGAGTAGAGAAGGAAAGCAAGTGTTTTGGCAGAAGAAAATGACTCGCAGTTGGAGTGAGTCTGGGTAATTTTGAATTACCTACAGCAGATGAATTCAATGTGGAGGTGACTAGGAAAGTGTGGGGGAAGAGGTGCAACACTTGCAGAAGTTTTATGAGTTGGTACCCACCAGGTGATAGGTACTTGACAGAATGACATGCTTTTTTCCCTCAAGGATTGTTCAGTAAATGGACAGGGGGATGATGCTCTGCTGTGTTACTTCGAAGCGGCAGCACAAGGGTCAGAGTCCAGGCTGGGTAGGGGAAAGATGACTTTATGCCATTTTTCTGCCTCCCTAACTCTAGTCTGCTGATTTGGCTCAGCACAAGTTAAAGTGGCCTGAGGGCATTCTGCCTCAGAGTAGATCCTGTGTTTGGGGCAGGGCAAAAAGATGCTAACTGGAGGCCAAGGATGACTGTTTTACAAACAAGGACCTGTAGGAGGAAAGAGTTTGAGAGACACGCCAGGTATATGAAAAACAGCATCTGTGTTGTCCTTGGGCTACAGAAGGGCTATGTCTACACAGCAACATTATTTTGAAATAACATAGTCCGCATCTTCACAGCTGGTAATTATTTTGACATAATGTCAAAATACTCATTTTATGAGGAGTAAGGAAAGTCAGAGGGAGAGTTTTCTATTTCGAAATAAGTGCTGCGCAGACAGCACCAAAACTTGAAATAAGATGCACAATTGATGTAGCTCATTTTGCATAGCTTATTTCAAGGTAAGCCCTGCTGTGTAGACACACCCAAGGAGAATCAAGATACAAGTCTCTCACAGCAAAGTAGTAGTAGTTAAGAACAGAACCTAGCTCTCTTGCTGCTTAAAATGTGTTCTGACCAAAAGAGCACCCTTCCTGCTGTAAGAATGTTATTGTGGTCATATTTCAAGGTACTACACAGCAAAGTTATTTCGGAATAACAGCTGTTATTCTGAAATAACTATGCGAGTGTCTACACAGCAAAACCATTATTTCGAAATAATTTTGAATTAGCGGAAGTCAGTTCTTGATCAATTTTCCTGCAGTACCTTTGCTCTGGAATATATCCAGTTGTTTTGCATGAATGAGCTGGTATTTGAGATACCACAACCCTTTTTGGATGTCTTCTGCTAGCAGTGCCACATACTTCCTGCCTCCTCTTTCCTTGGGAACTGATGGATGAGGAGAGAGGGACAATTTGGCTATCTTGAAAGATCTAGTACTTTCTTTAAGCTTTTCCAAAGTTTCTTGTCTGTGGTAGAGACTCTATACAGCATGAAAATCACAAATGTCCACTTCATGTTCTCTCTTTTCTTTCATGTCCTTAGGGGCTGCAGGATGCTTGTTGGCTTTTCTAACATACAGGACATTTTACAAATCTAGACCTTAATCTAGAAACCTCAATTACATCAAGTATCAGAGGGGTAGCCGTGTTAGTCTGAATCTGCAAAAGCGGCGAGGAGTCCTGTGGCACCTTATAGACTAACTGAAGTGTAGGAGCATAAGCTTTCGTGGGCAAAAACCAGTTAGTCTGTAAGGTGCCACAGGACTCCTCGCCACTTTCTCAATTACATCAGTGACTCAGGATAGGGACTCTAGGTCTACTGCTTAAGCTCACTTTTAAGTAAAAGTACTGTAACTGAATGCTTTCCTACCCTCGTATTGCTGGTACTTGTTGAAAAGAATGTGGGATCAAATCTGCAAATGTCCCTCCATTAGCAGTGAAACCTCTTTCACTTGCACTGTGTGGAGTTTTTGTTCCTTTAACAACTTTTTAAAGTGCTGCCTTTCCTTTTGGGAGTTGATGGAACCTGAGGGCTGTGTCTACACTGGCATGAATTTCCAGAACTGCTTAAAACGGAATACTATTCCGTTTTCAGTTTTTCCGGAAAAGGAGCGTCTACATTGGCAGGCTGCTTTTCCGGAAAAGCCCTTTTTCCAGAAAAGCGTCTGTGGCCAATGTAGACGCGCTTTTCCGGAAAAGAGCCCCGATTGCCATTTTCGCGATCGGGGCTTTTTTCCGGAAAAGACTACTGGGCTGTCTACACTGGCCCTTTTCCAGAACAGTGCTCTGGAATAAGGGCTTATGCCCAAGCGGGAGCAGAATAGTTTTTCCGGAATAGCGGCTGATTTTGTACAGTGGAACATCGTTGCTTTTCCAGAAATTCAAGGGCCAGTGTAGACAGCTCGCAGCTTATTCCGGAAAAGCGGCTGATTTTCCGGAATAAGTGGCCCAGCGTAGACACAGCCGTGCTTTCCTCCTTAGTGCATAATCATCCAGATGTGTGTGGTAGCCTCCTTTTCTGTGCCTCTCTGTAATTTTGCCACTGTCTTGTGTGAGAGACTTATCCCCTGCTACTCCAAGAACCTACATTAGTCTTCTGGATCTCTTTGTCTTGTTGACTTTCTAATCTCATTTGAAAACCAGCATATCTTGTCTCCTTGGCAGATGCCTACTGATTTCCTATCTCCCTCTGGTACTCAGGCTATGTCTACACTACAGAGTTTTTTTCGGAAAAACATCTGTTTTTCTGAAAAAACTTCACTTACGTCCATACTGCAATTGCGTTCTTTCAAAAAAAAAATCAAAAGAACAGATGAGTTTTTCCGATATTGGTAAACCTCGTTCTACGAGGAAGAAGCCTTTTCCCGAAAGAGCTCTTTCGGAAAAAGGCACGTGTGGATGGGGAAGAGGGAGTTCTTTTGAAAGAAGAGGAAAAAGCACAGGTGCCCTGGTGGCCACTCTGTCCATAGTAATCACAGTTTAAATGTGAGATAGCGTCCACATTGAATGGACGCTATCTTTTGAAAAAGCAGATCGCTTTTTCGATGTGTTTTGGCAGTGTGGACCCTCTCTTTCGGAAGATCTCTTCCAGAAAAGCTTCTTTCAAAAGAAGCCTACAGTCTAGACATAGCCTTAGAGTAACTGTTATCTTTTATAATTTATTCCTTAATCCTGTTGCTTTTTGCATATAATTCTGCACCTTATTCTGTGAACTGTTTCAGTGCACTAATTGACAGCTGCTATATTTTATTATTTACCAGGAATAGTCTCATTCCTGTCTTACTCTGCAGTCAGTGAGGATTGGAATATTTCTAGTTTTGGGGAGAATGACCCCAAAAGACTTGGTACAATTTCCCTATGAATAGACTTTACTACTGGGATGAGTGGCAGGGCTTGTGAGTGAGGATCTTTGGCAGCATATGCAACAAAAGACTGTGGAGAGAAGCCAGTGATATGTGTGGGAGGTCTGGTTTTCATTTTTACTCTAATTTGTAGGGGTGATGTTGGCTTCCAAAGTCAAAGTGTCTCTATGGAGACAGTCCTGATTGCTGCTCTGTTACTAAAAGTCAATGAGAGATTTTGCCCTGGTCAGGTTAAGTATGTTGGTATGGGCTGGCTCAATTTGATTGAAAACGCTGGCTGCAAATTCTGCAGTTGATCTGCAAGGGTCTCATGCCTGCCAGTCAGGGGTTAGGAGATTCAGGTGGTGCGGGAGAGTCAGGGTTGAAAGGAAAACAGCCAAACCTGCAATGTGTGCCAGGAGATAGGGAAACTGTAGATGGAAGTTTCCTGCTAAGCAGAAGCAGAGGGCTGTCTGTAGTGTGCTCCAGCCAACAATGAACTAATGGGGGTGACCCTGGCTCCCCTGGGTGACTCAAGTAATTATCTCACCAGGCTCTCAGCCCATGCTGTGCCAAACTGGGTCTTTAATATCACACTACTGTCTCACCCTCTACCTGGTAGGATGGGCCTTCCTGCAGCTGCAGGTTTGACAGCACTGAATTAGCCCTGAGGCTAGGCTGCTACAGGGGTTGGGTGCCTGTGCCTCTTGCATTCTGGGTAAAATCAGACATGGTGGTATTTGATCCCACTCACACTTAGGAAGGGTATCTCAGTGTGAGTGGACAGGGGTGTGTGTGTGTGTGTGTGTACACATATGTGATGGAGGGCAGGCAGATCAAGCTGCTGTGTTTCCCCGTGTGAAGATGTCACGTCTGCTACATGTTGGATGATGTGCTCCCCTTCTCCCCTCTCCAAATTTCAGCTTTGGTTTATCTACAGGATTCAGTAGGAGAGGCCTGGAAGGTGACAGAAAGCTTCTAATAGTGCCACAAAGCAGGGCTTTTTTGGTGCCAGCTTCACACTCCTGCAGAGGCTTTTGGCCTGATATTTTCTGCACCTCTAGCCCCTGCCGAAGTCAGTGGGAGCTCAGCACCCCTGCAAATCATTCCATTTGTGTTGAAAACAATCAGGCTCCTTTCCTCCTTCCCAAAACGAGAGTAGATAAGCCATTTATCTTTGGCAATGCTATGGAAGAATGCCAGGCTGGAATGCATGGGCATGGAGATATGAGCTGTGCTGGCCTGCAGAAGCCATATACATGAGTGCTATCCTGTGGTAATGAGGCTGTGTCCCAGGTAATAGGGAGGAATGCCACGCCATGTCCCCAGAGGGGACAGAGGACATGTGCCGGGCTGCACACCAAGGCTAGCAGCTATATTTGCCACACTAAAGGTAGATTTGCATCCCCTAGGTAGTTCACAAAAAAATCCCTGTTTACTTTGGTCAGGGGAACCCATCTTGCTAGTGTTAGTCTGTTTCAGCAAAAATAGTGAGGAGTCCTGTGGCACCTTAGAGACTAGTAGATTTATTTGGGAATAAGCTTTCATGGGCTGGAACATCTGGGTCTGGATGCATCTGACAAAATGGGCTCCATCTTATGCCCAAATACATTTTAGTCTTTAAGGTGCCACAGGACTCCTCATTGTTCATCTTGCTAGTGAAACTCTATTTAAACATGGCGAGCATACCAGATTCAACTGTTCAGGTGTAGCTAGGCAGGGCCTAGCAGCGACAGACCAGTTTTATAAAGCTTCAGAGGGGTAGCCAAGTTATTCTGTAACTGAAAAAACAATTACAGAATAACTGTACAGTTATTTAAGGTACAGTTTTATAAAGAGTCAATTATTCCCAGGGAAATATCCCATATCATGTAGAGCAAGTTGGCTTACAGCCCCCTTCAGCCTCAACATAACATGCTGACACTACTCTGTGTCCTAGGGTGTGATAACTGTATTACTGCCTGCTTCTTTCATTGGGCAGGGACTTGGTAAATAACCCTTCTAGCCTGATGTGCCTCTTCACCTACAGACAATGGTGCTATGGTAGCGTTGAGGAGGGGTGAGGGTCTGCACAATGCAATTTCAGATACTGATTCGGAGAAAGATAGTCCTGACCTCACAGCTCCTACACAAATCATGATTGGACCTTTATTTTGTAAAAGATGCTGGTGTCTGCGGTATTACCAAAGCTGGAACATAGACACTACAGTTATAGGACCCTCAGAAATACCAGATGCAGTAGCCCTCTCACAATTGAAAGTATGGGCATGATTTTTCATCGGTGCTGAGCACCCACAACTCCCAACTGACTCCATCTGGGGCTCTGGAAATTAGGCCCTACGTTTTCAACATGTGCTTGCTTTCCACTGACAAAAGAAAAAAAATCTTCAGGTTTCCTACTTGTCCAGAAGGAGGCAGCTGAATCTCTTTTGTCCCAGGTTTCCTGCTTTTTTTTATGTCCTTCTTACCTAAGCTTCAGGCATATAGATTACATAAGGTGGACTTATTTTCCAAGTTGCATGGTTCTGGTTTGTGGAGCTTCAATCCAATCTGAAATGGGTTGCATTGTAAACTGTTCTCTGGCATTTTGCAGAATTGTGGGCTGGGCCCATCCGAATCCCTGAAGCATGTGGTTCCTCTTTCCAGTCTGAACAGGCACCGAATAGTTTCTAGATTGCATCTCTCTTGCCCGGCAGAGACAATTTTGGCAGCACCCCCTTTCCTGTTCAGTGGATGTGATTCTGGACTATGCTCCTTCTCAGCATTGCACTACATCCCCACCCACCCTTCACTGTCCCCAGCCTGATTTTCCAGTCTGTGTCATTCTGGACTACATCCTCTTTCTGGTCTGCATCCTTTTTGTCGAGTCTGCAAAAGTCTAGACTGACAATACCACTCTCCTTCCTGTTCTGGATTGTGCCTTTCCTCTACTCACTGTTGGGTTTGGCACCTCTGTTTTGCCCAGCGTGCATGGGTTTTTCTGGACCTCTTTCCCAGCTCTATCCATCCGTCTTTCTCTAGAGTGGAATGAAATGGACTGTGGTTTACAGATCTCTGTTCCCTGCCGCTGTACCTTGGGTGCCGCTCCCCAGTTTGTGAGAGGCAGGACATGCTCCCCCCCCACTTTATCTTCAGGAGTGTTCTCTACTCTGGAGCCTGGCTGCAGGGCTTGGGTGCTGATGGTTGTCCTCCTTTCTCTCTCCTAGGAGGGGCATAGGACTGACTCTCTCGGGGATGCAAATACTTTTGAGTCTGAAGGAGACAAGACGTAGCCACTCGATGCCTTGCTCGGGTTCCAGGCACCCAGCCCCATCCCGCTGACTGCATCATTTGCAGCCTCGTCCTCACAGGCGGCCTTGCCCCCCTTTCCCCGGTCTGGAGCACGGTTCCTGCCCCCTCCCCTCCAGGTTTTGCAGGCTAGTACCAGGCTGCCATGGCAGCCCCTGGGGCCCGCTCCCTGCCTCTCCTGCACAGGGCGCCTTGCGGGCACGGTTCGCAGCCCGAGGCAGGCTTGCCCCCGCCCCTCCCCGCCCCAGGATGCCTGGCTCCTGGAGGCTGCAGCTCCGCTCCGCGCCCGGCAGGTGTCCCTGTGGAGCGGCCCTTTGTGCTCCTGATGCTGCCGCTGGCTGCCGAGCCCTTTCCAGCTGAGAGCTGCTCCTTCCTCCCCCGGCCGCTCCTTCCGCCTGCATCCTGCGCCGGGCGCGGGGAATGGCCAGACTCACCGAGGGCGAGGCGAGGAGGCAGCAACAGCAGCAGCTCCTGCCGCTCAGAGCCTCCCCCATGAGCAGCAGCAGCAGCAGCTCGGAGCCTCCCGCGCAGCCGGACAGCATGAAGGACCTGGATGCCATCAAGCTGTTCGTGGGGCAGATCCCTCGCAATCTGGAGGAGAAGGACCTCAAGCCCCTCTTCGAGCAATTCGGCAAGATCTATGAGCTAACCGTGCTCAAGGATCGCTACACCGGCATGCACAAGGGTGAGCCCCTTTCCCTTTCCCTCCCCATCCCCTCTTTTTCTGCTATTTATTTGTACCTTTGAACACTTGGCAGATGCTCTGTTCCAGCACATCCCTCAGGTCTCTTTCCCCTGATCCTCTCCCAGAGCCTCTGCTCCCCCAGCCCCTTCTCTCCACCTCCTCTCTTTTCTGGGGTGCTGGCAGATTTCAGCCGCTCCTTTCATTCAGTTAGTCTTTGACAGGAGCCTCCCTGGGAACTTTTAATCCTCCCTTAACAGAATTACATATGTAATGTTCACAAAGGGGGCCGGGTGGCTTCAACCCTCCTCTTGCTGCCAGGGGGAGACTACTAGACTCTCCTGGCTCTAGGCTGGGCTGGAGCCAAAGGCGAGAGCCACAAAGAAACGGGGTTGTGCCTGGGTATGGGGAAATCTGAGACAGATCATTAACACTTCTTCAAATGCCTTGTGGGCCTGATGCCTTGCCTTCTTTATCTTGCTCCTTTCCCTAGGTCCTATTCTGCCCAAAGACCTCCCCTGAAAGAAGAGGAATGTCCACCTTCCCTCTTATACTCAAGTTAATTCAGGGAGAAACATTGGATGATTTCAGAGATGAACCTCTTTTTAATCCCCCCTTCAAGATTATTGATCCAAAATGCTGCAGTAACATTTCCATGAGCTGTAGCTTTTGGGTCCACTACTGTAGAATATAGTAGTATAAAAAGAAAAAGCAGGAGGTTGTGTGGAAGATCCCTGAAATCTCAAGACATAGAAATAACAGCCACGTTATTGCTTTTAAATGTTATCTAGCTTGGCGATGTATATATAGTGCTAAAAATGACACTCTTTATACATAGCTGGGTATAAACAGCACCAGGCATATAGTGGGAATTCTGTTTGAGTAAATTCGATATACACCAGTAAAACTGTGTATTGTAAAACTTATGTCTGCAATTATAGCCTTCTGATTACTCATGTGTGGGGCTCTGCAAGACAATGATATTTCTGTGTATGTGAATAATATACACAGTCATCTTTTTACAATAGGGTAAATGTAGAAGTTGGATGCTCACCTCACTTCCCCTTTCTGGATTTGTGGCAATTTGATTTAGGGAATTGGAAGTAAAGGAAGGCTAGTGCTGGATAGAGCCAAGTGGTGGTTATGTGGGAAGGTACCCAGGGCTCTCCTTGCCCCCCTGCTCTGCCAATCTACCCCAGTTCCCTCCTGCCAAATCCCTATTCCAGTCCCAGGCTCCCCAGATTGAGGAAGCAGGGAAAGCAGTGTCACATAAATAATCCGATGTCCCTGGTTCTAACCTGCAGCATCCTCTTCTCTCCAAGCCCCCCACCCTCTTTATTGCTCTGCCAGTCTTGATTTGCAGCACCCTCTGTATTTTGCTATACTACAAATTGCATTGCTGGGTTTTTTTATGTGGACGAATGTACGGGACAGATTAGGCTGAGATCACAAAAACTCATTGAAATTAAGGCCGGAAGCAGATGTAGAAGCAGGTCTTCAAAGTAGAAGACCAGCAGTCCCTGCACAATGGTACCAAACCTCCTCCCAGGCAATAATGCTGCAGTTTTAAAATCTGCACAACAAAGATTATAAACTACAAATCTATTCTTTGCAGTGGTATCTGGAGTGGATGAAAGGCCATCCTGAGCTCTGATTATCCTAGAAGCTTTAGCATGCCAACAAGTTTTGGTAGGCATGTTTAGGCCGTAATTATAATTATTTTCTAAATCTGATGTTTTAAAAGCTTGTTGTTTTTGAAGTATCAGTTCTGTGTCCTGAATCCAGGTCCATCTTAAGCCTGGCCCCCGGGTAGATGTTTCCAAGTTTAGAATACTATAATCACCACCACTGAAGGGACAGTAGAGAAATTAAAGCATCTATTTATTGAAAGGCCTGGCATAAGCAGTAAAAGCCCCATTGCTGGACAGGTTTAAAACTAAACTGCTGAGAACCTACAGTAAATGCCTTTAAAGCTGTCAGCAATCAGCCTGCCCCTGTATGCCCTAAAATGATTTGTGGTGTAATCGCATGATGATTTTCATTGGAGGGAGGGGGAGCTCAGATTGGTTCTGATGCAGCTAGTTTTGCATATAGGATATCACTTTAAAAAGCAAAACACCCTCTAGTTGCAAATGCCAACATTCCTCCAGGGACATCTGATTGTTGCAAGCCCAAGAGAGGAAAGGGCGGCAAAAGGAAGTTTTATTAACCGAAGACAAATATCTGTCCAAACAAAGGGCCAAATTCAGCTCCAGTGTAAAGAGGGATTCATCTTCCATTGAAGCCAATCGGAGCTGCGATGGCTGACTTTAGCTCAGGGATTGTTTCTGTCTTCAGTCAGGATTTTAGAATAAAACTGTCGTATGTCTGCATGCACGCGCGTGTCTCTCTCTGAGCAAACCTGTTACCATCTGACAGCAACCAGCCTTTAAAACACAGAGAGGAGGTGGATGGGGTGGGGATATGATCCAAACACACATTTCATTACAATCGACATGTTAAATATAGTCTGCATTTGTTGGCAGAGGTCAGGCTAAAGGCAGGAGATTCCAGGGATCTGCCATTGAGATATGGAAATTAGAGGTGGCAGTGCTGGTATTAGCCAAATCCTTGTGACATTAACTTGCTGCTAAATGCAGGATTCAAGTAGCCAAAAAACAAAAACAACCTCCCCCCCAAAAAAACCTGTGACTTTGATGTTTTTGTCATGGTCCTATACAGTAACCATATGTTTAACTCTTTATTTGTCTTTCCATTGAAAGACATTTGAGAGTTCAGGTTATCATTGTGGTAGTTTTCAGGGCTTCTGGTTCTTCCTCCTTCTTTGTTTTATACAAATAGCAAGTTTTGGTTGATTTCCTTGTGTAATGTATCACTGTCACTTGTTTTTGTGTTATTGTTTATACACTCACTTGTGAGGTTGCCATAAACTTGGGGTGTGAGTGGAATTCACATGGCTTAAGGTGGGTTGTTCACCTCCCCATATAACAGGGCTCCTGCCTTAAATTGCTGAATCTTCACTCCCATCAACTTCAGTGAGAACTGAGAACAGTCAGAATCTCCCAGGATTGAGCCTAGGAACCACCTGCAGCTGCAAAGCAAGATTGGGCTAAGAGTTTAGGTGCCCAAGATTTCATAGCTCAGAATCAGTCAAATTATAGAAGATTAGGATGGAAAGATACCTCAGTCCAATCCCCTGCTCAAAGCAGGACCAACTCCAGCTAAATCATCCCAGCCACGACTTTGTCAAGCTTGGCCTTAAAAACTTCAGAGGATGGAGATTCTACCTCCTTTCTAGATAACCCATCCCAGTGCTTCACTACCTGCCTAGTGAAATAGTTTTTCCTAATATCCAACCTAGACCTCCCCCACTGTAACTTGAGATCATTGCTCCTTGTTCTGCCACCTGTCACCACTGCCATCAGCCTGAATCCATCCTCTCTGGAATGCCCTTATAAAGTCCCCCTTACTCTTCCCTACTGCAGGCTAAATAAGCACAGTTCCCTCAATCTCTCTTCATAAGTCATGTACCTCAGTCCCCTAATCATTTCTGTTGCTCTTCAAATTAATTAGTGGGAGGTGGGGCAGTTATTCATCCTTACAGTAGTAGGGCAGTTTACCTTTCTTCTGGGCTCACATTCAGCACTCTCTTCAGCTCCTCTTGCTGTGCTGAGAACTGATGAATTCACCACAGTAGGAAGGTCCTTCATTCCAGTGTAAGAATTAGTGCCTTCATGTCAATACTATTATGAAATGGTAATATATTCATATTAGTGTCTGAATATTAATGCCTCAGAACCCTATTTGGTAGCTGAGATTGCTCCACTTCCCCTGATATTATTCAAGATGCAGTTTTTTGTTGGTGTTAATGGGAGATAAATTTGCATATTAGTGGCAATATTTCCATGGGAAGAGCTAGGCACTGTTTTCACATATACACTGGGGGAGGTGGACGAGCAAGGGGAGTTGGAGGAAAATCTTTGGCCTTGAATTCTAGAACTGGGCTCATGGAGGTTTCAGTGATAGCATCTGCTGTGTGCTTTCCTGGGTGGATTTCATGACGGAGTCTCTGGGAGGGGAAGGAGAGAGGCTGTGAAGCATGAGATACTGAACCAGACCCCACGTAGGAAATGGCAGAGACAAGAGTAACAGTCAAAACCTGGGCGTGTGAATAGAAATACAGTGCCATGGTGTGGTTCTGGGCAATGGAGGCAACAACGCCCTGCCTGCCAGCCGTGCTTTCAGCTCATGTTCCGCATGTGGGTCGGAGAGGACTGCTCTATCAACCTGAGCCCAGGTTTGCAGGCTGAAGAGTGTTAAAGAAATCGGTGGAATTGATTATGCAGCAATGGATGCCCGAACACTCCCTTGCCTTGAGCAAACCAAAGATCTGGAGGCCTGAGTCTCACACATGTCATTGGCCTCTGTTGGAATCCTGATGGCATTCAGCTACTGGAGAAAGCAGCAGTGGTTAGAACCGAGCCGGGGATCATCACAACCACCCTTTGCTGTGAGCCAGACAGATCTTGCTAGCTAGACAAGGCTAGGCTGGATTAGGAGGCAGAGAGCCCTAGAAGACCTTGGCACTACAGGAGGTGTCAAGGGTGTCAGGCAGCCTGGGTTGCTCTCCCACCTGACTGCTTATCTCATTAAAGATCCCATGCCAGGCTTTATACCCGCATGGCAGTTAAACCTCCTGTGCTGGCCACCTTCCAGCCCTCAGCCTGGATAGCCCCACCTTGTTGTTCAGCCCTATGCCTCATTCCACACTTACTGCCCTACACGTCTGTGTGCAGCTTCAGGCTGTTCATTTCAGTAATGTTTTTCCCCCTATCTTGTTGGGAGGGTTAACTAACTAACTAACTAACTAGCTAACTAATTTTTCTAACATGCTTTGAGGCTCTTGGATGGTAAGTTCTGTAGGCAGCTGAGTCCAGTAGCATTATGAATAAGCATGCCTCTAGTAGCATCTTGTGGGCTCCTTAACATTTCAGCATTAGTAC